CTCTCTCTCTCTCTGTGCCTGTCTCTCTTTCATACTCGACCTTTTCCCTCTCTCAATCCCATGAAAGCTCAGCCGGGCATCATCCGTGCTTGATGCTTTCTTTGCAACTGCACAATGTACTTCGGCTTCACTCGGGTTCTTGTCCACGGCATCCACGTAGAACTCCCCTGTGGGAGCCTTCAGAATCTCCATCGGCACAGTTGTTCCGAGTGGGATCACCTCACCCTCTTCGACAACAACCGACTGGTTCCCGTCTGCATCTGCCGTGATGTATGGAAACTGCTCTGCCTCTGCGTCGTCATCAAGATCATCGTCATCATCTTCCTCACAAGCAGTTTCAATCAACATGATTTGCAATTAATGCCTATGACACCCAGGTGCAAACCACGAAACAAATGTCCTCGGGGTCCATGGCAGGCAGCCGCTGCATACCAGGAAGCATTGTAGGCTGATGGCTCAAGCCGGGCAGTACCTCAGGTACATCTCCGCCAGCTCCATCCCCGCCAGCAGACCCAGCCGCCCCGATGAACTCGCTGATCGCAGCAACTTCCGTGTCCCCGCCCTGCCACACATACCACTCACCATCTTCAACAAAGACCTGCCAGTAGCCTTGCCCTTCCGGTGGCCTGCTGCTCCGTGCCACTGGCATCCTGCACGTGCAGCATCCACTGGCCCTCGCCCATGAACTGGACCCACGCATGTGTGCCGGGCTCCGGCACTTCGTCCTCCGTTGCGGCTACCACTTGATCCGCCTCCGGCGTGGGTGCATCCTCCATGGTGCTTGCTCCGGGGCCCACACCGGGACCGCCGGGGCCAGCTGTGCCGCCGGCTTTCGCAGCCTCGCCACCGGTACCTTCCATCAACCTCCGTACGTGCCTGAGCTGCTGCACCGGTATCTGCTCAGTAGAACACATGAAACGACGTGACATGTCTGTGGGAACAAGTCACTCTCTGGCTTGAGCACCGTTGTACCTGAGCGACTGCATCGGGGTGCCCAATCGGCGATACTCCCTCTGGAGCTTGTCGATACAGTCTTCGCGCTCCATCCTGAGAATGGAATAACATGAAAGATGACTGTATCTCGACTCTAGACTATTCCGCTTGCAAGGCACGATGGAATGCGGGAAGTCGGCATGAGGCCGCTGCACAGGTAGAGCAAACACATGAGTTCCTCCCGATCACAGCTCTGAAGCATGACCTCAGTCATCATGTCGCCGTCGATGCTGTTGAGCCAATCGACCAAATGTTGGTCCTCTAATGCGTTCTCTCCTATATATATATATACATATGTATTCCTGTACTATGCATTCTTGCTCTTTCTGAAGTGCCCATCTGAATTCAGAAACAAGACACGCTCAAATACGAAATGTTGTGATAAGAGCTTGAATACTTCTCCACATTCCGACGCCGGCTGCCCGGCGCCGACTTTGTGGCAGTCGCACCCGCCTTTGCTGTCCCACCAGCTGATTTGGGAGCACCAGCTCCTTTGCCAGTGCTGAGGGCCGCTCTCCCCAGGGGTGCTGATCCCACCACGGAACCATCTGTCCACCTTGCACACAGCCCATTGCTGCCCAGACAAAGTCCAAGCTTTACGTGCAAACAACACAGCACACACACACACACACACAAAGCTCACACTCAGTGGCCCGCGTGATGGAAGTGGGCGGGTTCGGAGCAGCTGGCGGCGGCTTGGGCGTGAACGTCGTCATCGGTGGCGGGACACTTCGGGGGTCGAACACGGCGGCCCCGGTAGCAACGGAACCGGCCCAAGTGGTAGCCATCGGAGCACTAGACTTCGGAGCGGGAGTCTTCGGAGCGGTAGTCGCCGCCGGCGCCGCTGCCTTCGGCAAAATCGGCTTCGGAAGGGGCAATCTGGGTGCCGGCGTCGGTGTTTTCACAGAAGGTCTCGCGGGATACGTGTGCAGCGGAGGCTTCGGTACAGCCTTCTTGGGAGGGGGCGGGGGACCCCGCCCAGGTACCGGAGGCACCTTCGCCGGCATGTTGCACGGGCCACTAGCAACAGCCCCTGAAGCGCTTGGGCACAGACTCAGACTATCACGCAAGACAGTCGCTGAAACAAACTTGCCCCAAGAAACACTCTCTAACTCCGGTCACAGAGAACATGGGCAGAAATAGCATTCTTTTTCATGGCAAACACCACGACACTATCAGAAAGCGTGCATCCTACCCCGGACAAAAGGACTGCATCTGAAAGTTCACGTGCGGTCCAGGCCGTCCCAATCTATGCTGGGCACGGTCTTGTTGGGCCCGAAGCAGGACACAGCGAGCAGCACCATGATCATGGTGTTGCTCAGATGCATGGCATTGCCACAGATGCTGCTGGCACGAAGTGTATCTAAGAGAGGCAACGGGGTAAGGCCTAGAATGCCGGCACTTTCTGCATTGATAGGAAAACCTAGGGAAGACAGCTTGTCTGCCGCCGTCAGCCAGCGTCGATGGTGAGGGAACCAACACTTCCCACCATTGCGCCTGTACGTCGGGATGCGTTTCGACGTCGCACTCCATGTTCGGTAGGCGGCTGTGTCGCCTAGAAAGAACACAAGATCAGGGTCCTGAGCGGGGTCTGTGCCAAAGCGACATCTGTACTCCTGCTCGTAATCAGCCAACCTTTGCTTCTCCACCGAAGTCAACAAGTAGGACCAATCGTTCTGATCCTTGCGCATACCAACCGAACAGAATTGTGCAACCACACAACAACACTGCCACAGCAGTAAATAATCTAATAGCATACAAGTCAGGACGAGTCTCTGGCTGGTACGGAACCCCACGTGCTCTGGCAACTCTCTCACACTCAAGTCGCTGCTGCAGCGGACTGGAAGTCAGGTAATCACGAGGAGAGGTGGAGATGTGTGACGTCAGCATCGCCACAACTTGCTTGTAGGCCTCATGAATACAATAAAGATAACGGCATGTCTTCTTGTGCGAACAGAAGATGTACGTCCTGGGTCTGTTCACGCCGGTGTGGCCAGTGTCCGAAGGTGACACGAAGAGCTGGATGAGGATGTAGTCGTGCCCCAGCAGGTGGTTCATGGCCTTCATGTTGATGTCCTGGGCATCAGGGGAATTGGTCTTGTGGGACTGTGGCAGGACTCACACTGCGCGGCACAGTCAAACAAGGGACCGTATTTATTCAAAATTCCGCTAAGCCTCCGGAACGTTCTCAATCAACAGCAAGGGTGTCTGGTTCATTTTGTGGCGCTGGGCCCAAGTGATGTACACGAGGCCACTGGGCCCTTCTTCATACTTTCTCTTGCGATTTGCACGACTGTTGTCCGGACACGGCAGTCCGGAAACATCTATCTGCACTGGCTCCTGTAGACTGCACTCCCTGCCATGCGTCGAACATTGCTGCTTGCTTGTCAGGCCTTGCACTTCCACAGATTCGGACTTTTGCACAAAGTCTCCTGTGTGTCCGTGCCCTCCGCCAACCAACTGGTCAAGTATGTTGCCGAAGATGCATGGCAACAGGCCCATTGAAGGCAAGCTGGAATGCATCCACTTATGGTTGTCGATGATGAGCTGCTGACACGCGTGATCCATCTCCTCAGTTGCGAACAAACAGAGACCCAGATCTTGAAAACATCTGCACACACAAAACCTCTGCTTCTGGCAAGAGTCATGGCATCGCACAGACTTAAACGAACACCGGTCTGGCAACAGTCCAGAGTCATTGATTACCTTCACGACGCAAGCTGCCGCCACTTCAGCTGTATAAGCCCCCGTACAACTAGAGGACATATGCCAGCAGCTCCTCAAAAAGCTTGCCTGCGTGCGCACTGCAGACTCGCAACACAAGGCTTGCATGAAACGACCCGACGATAATCATCAATCATGTCTATGTTGCACCTGGATCACCCATCCTGGAAGTAGCTTCCACAAACAGTGCCACGCCATGGGCAATGCTCGAGCCGCTGTAGCCAGCCGTGCTTCACCGTCGGGAACCTGCTGCAATACATACAGACAACTCAAGAATCACACACAGCTATGTAGATTGCACGCCTGCCTCAAAGGGCGATCTACTCACAGATGTTCCGCAGCCGGACATATTGGTGGCAGTCGTCCCGGTGGCAGTCCAGGCACCTCCGTCCAACTGGGCCTGCCCTGACTGGGACTGGAAAACTGCAACCACGAGGAGGTCATGGGAAAACCCACACTTCATATCAAACACGTAACAGCTCGGGCCGAATGTTAGGCAGGAAATCAATGGCTTTCCAAGTCTGCAAAGTGCTCTGTGCTCAAACACGTCAGGTAAATCTGGGTACGAGCAAATTTGACAATCTGAGAGCCCGACGACAGGCGGCCCGTACGCCCCAGCAGAGAGCTGTTGGCTCCAGAGAAACACAACTTCTGTTGGAAGCTCTCCAATGTCACTTCCGTCAATGAAGACCTCAATGACACAGGAGTGGAGTTGTCAACTGCACACGACTTAAGGGCCCTGGCCGTAAAGTGCTTGCAATCAACGAGCTCCCTCCGCGCGCGCAGGATGTGCGCAGCCTTCAGATGCAAAACAAGACTATGCACCCACGCAGCTTTCAGCACACAATCGCCAGCGAGATGCACACACTTTGTGCGCGAGCTGGCCCACACGCATGGAGCTCGTCTTGCTGACCTTCTGCAAGGCATTCGAAGCCCATCGCTCCTGATGTTCAATGGGTGCAAAAGGTATATGGCGATGCATCAAAGATGCACTCACATGGAACTCCGAAGCACAAGCGGTCCTTCCCCTCGAACAGTAGCTTCGTGGCACTGGCTGCGATGATGTTGGCAGATACACTCGTCATTCGACGACGCTTGGTACCCGTAGTCTGAGCAAATTCGAAAACTCCGGGGTCGTCCTGCATCTCAAGCAGGCGAGTCACAAGACAAGGCACGAAACGACCCAGCTACACTTGAAGCTACACGGATGCAGTGTCGTCCTGCGCTTCAAGCAACATTGGAAGAACTCTCGCTTCCAGATCCGAAGCCACATTCGTCAACAAGGTGTACGCCGAAGATGACAACAGCCTGCGCGCGTGCTTGAGCTTGTGGTCTTTGCTGTTGATGGGGGTCGGCTCCAACGACCAAAGCACGAAATCATGCAGCTGGGTGCGCGTGCGCGAACTCTTCGGGAATGGCTGCTCGTCATTCAGCACCGACGAATCCCACACTGCACTAATTGCATCTGACATGCTGTCTGTCCAACAAGCAATGACCCCATCGTTTCCCACCACCTGCTCCCTCTGCACAACTGAGCCATCTGCCTCAAGAGCAGGGAAGCGCACGAAAAGGCCCTCACCTTGCGACGTTGTCATCGAAATCAAAGCCTGCAGCAGATTTCCACACAGCTGTTTGGAATCGGGGCTTCGCTTGGGAGTGCACCACCCCCAGACGAGAGTCGCCATAACAACGGAGGTGGAAATGCAGTTGCTGAACAGCTGGTCAGGACCATCGCTCAGACTCAGAATTTTCGGCACCTCCACGCCCGGCCACAGCCGCCGATGCGTTTCCTGCACCCCGTCAAAAGCCTGGTAGAACTTCTGCTTGCGCTTAGTGATATTCGCCGATGGGTACAAAGTTTCCAGGAATTCTGGCAGGCTCCATTGCAACTGCTCTCGCTGACTGGCACGCTGGATCGGCAGGACAATCTGTTGACCTGCGCAGGTCAACCGCAGCGGACCTTGGATTGGGAGTGAGAAGCGGCTCGTATGCTTTCACGACCCTGTAACATGGGAACTGTTCTAGTTCTATTGAGCGGCAAAGATCCATCGTCCATGACAGGTCCCCGTGAAAAGGATCTTCAACTATGCTTGTTTCGAGCCCCGAGGCTGCCAAGGCAACCAAGACTGATTCCCTGTGGTCGTAAAACCCGCTAGCTCAGAGCTGGCAGAACCGTAGCACTAGCAATGCCCAAAATCAACATCACGCAGAGGCAAGTGGGGAAATTCCACAGTTCCTCAGTCGTTTTGCATTTCAAGCCAGCGAGTCACAAGACAAGGCACGAAACGACCGAGCTAAACGGATGCAGTGTCGTCCTGCGCTTAAAGCAATGTCGGGAGAACCCTCGCTTCCAGATCCGAAGCCACATTCGTCAACAAGGCGTATGCCGAAGCTGACAACAGCCTGCGCACATGCTTGAGCTTGTGGTCTGTGCTGTGGATGGGGGTCGGCTCCAACGACCAAAGCACGAAATCATGCAGCTGGGTGCGCGTGCGCGAACTGCTCGGGAATGGCTGCTCGTCATTCAGCACCGACGAATCCCACACTGCACTGACTTCCTCTGACATGCTGTCTGTCCAACAAGCAATGACCCCATCGTTTCCCACCACCTGCTCCCTCTGCACAACTGAGCCATCTGCCTCAAGAGCAGGGAAGCGCACGAAAAGGCCCTCACCCTGCGACGTTGTCATCGACATCAAAGCCTGCAGCAGATTTCCACACAGCAATCTGGACTCGCCGCTGGACAGGGGAGAGCACCAACCCCAGACGAGAGTCGCCATAACCATGGAGGTGGAAATGAACAGCTGGTCAGAGCCATCGCTCCGACTAAGAATTTGCGGTATCTCCACGCCCGGCCACATCCGCCGATGCGTTTCCTGCACCCCGTCAAGAGCCCGGAAGAACTTTTGTTTGCGCTTAGTCACAAGTGTCGAGGGATACAAAGTTTCCAGGAATTCTGGCAGGCTCCATTGCAACTGCTCTTGCTGATAGACACACTGGAACGGCAGGAGAACTTGTTGACCTGCGCAGGTCAACCGCAGCTGACCTTGGATTGGGAGTGAGAAGCGGCTCGTGTGCTTTTCACGACCCTGCAACATGGGAACTGTTCTAGTTCTGTTGAGCGGCAAAGATCCATCGTGCAGGTCCCGGGTGTGAAAAGGATCTTCAACTATGCTTGATTCGAGCCTCCCAAGGCAATCCCTCGTCCAAGGCTTTCTCATGCTTTCCCAGCCTGCGGAATCGTTGAAGCTTATAATGTGCTTCTGAAAGGATGCTGAAGGGATGCCGAAGAACCACAACATCAATAAACTTCAATAAAGGCTTATTGAAGGCTATTAGCGCCTAATAAGCTTCAATAAAGGCTTATTGAAGGCTATTAGCGCCTAATAAGCTTCAATAGGCTTTTATGTTGTTGGAGGCATTCCCCAGGCAATCTGGGGGTCAAAATCTGGGGGGCTCCCCCTGGGACACTATGATCTAAACTTGGATTTAGGGTTTCGGGGTTGGTTTAATACCCTAAACCCGTAAGCACGCAAACTCGACTCTTTTAAAGTTGTGGACCAGTTTTTATCACACGTTTGAGGGCTTGCCGAAGGGTTTTGGGAACACGGTCTCCGAGACCATGAACCCTGAAAAATAAAAAGAGAAGAAACACAATAACAACAGCAATAAAATATGAAATAGTAGAGTTTAATAATATCAATGATACTGATCCCCTAAAGCCTAGACCCCAGAACCATAGACCCTATGATAAGCCCAGGAGACTCCCCCTAGCCTCAGCCCTATACCTTGGACACCCGGCGCCCAGTTGCTCGAGGTTGTTGTTGGTTGCGCGGTTAGGGTTCAGGGTTCATGGTTAGTGTTCAGGGTTTAGGGTTTCGGGTTTCGGAATCAGGGTTTAGGGTTAAGGGTTCAGGGTTTAGGGTTTCGGGTTTAGGGGTTTAGGGTACAGGGATCAGGGTTTAGGGTTTAGAGGTTTAGGGTTTAGGGTTTAGGTACATGGAGGTATCTGGCTCGAGGTCAATTTAGTATATGTATACCACTGTATTTGTTCATATCTACACATACACTGGTCACGGAGTAGGGTCTAGGGTTCATTTTTGTAAGGTTGAGTGTCAAGGGCCTCTTTTGGCAACCCTCCTCATCTTCGACGGGCCCAAGGCGCACGGAAGGAAGAAGAGCCCGCCTCCTGAATCTGTTGGTGTTGGCCCTTTGATCAAAGGCCTTAAACCCTCCTAGACCCGAAGCCCGAAACCTCAAACCCTAAACCCCTAATCCCTAAACCTTAAACCCTAAACCTTAAGCCTTGAAAGTCTAAACCCTAAACTCTAAACCCCGGAACCCTGAAAGCCTAAACTCTAAACCCCGAAACCCTGAAAGCCTGGAACCCTGAAAGCCTAAACTCTAAACCCCGGACGCCTAAACCCCAAACCCTAACCGCATCACGTCTCGAGGACTTGAGCCACGTCCTGCTCATGGAGATGCAGAAGATGGCTCCCTGCCTCTGTTTTTCGAATTTCCAACGAGGCTCTAGTTTTGCAGGGCCTCTTTTTGAAGCGCTGTTATGGTCATGGGTGGTTGTTCAAGAAGTTTTCGAAAGAACAATGTAGTATTCAGGGTGGGGGTTTGAGAAGTTGTTTGGCTAGGATTCATTCGAATCGAACCGTTTGCACTTTTTATGATCCCTAAACTCTGTGCCCCTTGAAAGTCCATAGCGGTTTTTTGAGTTCTGGAGGTCCCCAGTTCAGGGTTAAGGGTTTGGTTAGAGTCATGAGTGGTTGAGGTGGTAGTGGCATGCATTTTTCTGTTGCGGTGGTGATCGTGAATGCAAGCCCGAAATCCTT